ACCTAGGTGGTCTCAGGCCCAAACAGCTCCGAAAAGGCATCAGGGCATGTCAGGACATCTCGCGGGTGAGGCTGGGAGAAGTCCAGGCTTTTCAACTCTAGCCAAGGAACCCAGGGTACATCACGGAGTTCTCATGTCCAACCACAGTCCAGCCGTGCAACATGTCATTGACTGTAGGGCCTCCCTGCACGATCTGGAAGATCTGACCCTGAACCACGACCATGGGGTTCAGAAGGCCGCGGCCGTTTGCTGCGCCTGCAACGTCAAGCAGAAAGGGAACCTACTGTACGCTAACATCTTGCCATTATCAACTGCCTCCCAGGCCGTCTGCCAGCAGGTCTGCGTTGATGGCATCTGTGGGATCTGCGTCCGTGCCCGCGGAGGAGTGCACGTAGTGGATTTCGTAGGATTTGCCCACTGCCACGTCTCCCTTGCAGTGCTGAAAGGTGTACGGCGCCATCTGCGCAGCAGTCAGGTTCTCGGTAGCGCACATGAAGCCGGGCCGCGGGTTCTCCGCAAGGCGGCGGCCGGAGGATGCCGCATCATAAGCATCGGCATCGGTGGAGTTCATGTAGGACTCTGACTTGTGCTCAGCACCCAGGTGGAAGTGCACGTTCACAAGCGGGAGGAAGTTGGCCTGTGCGTCGTTCAGGGTCGCTGCCTTGGGCGTCATCGTGCCGGACGCACCCAGGGTCAGGTCACGAGGCGTCTGAGGCTCCGCGCTGCTGCAAGCGGGCTTGGCGAAGTTGTAAGGGCAGCCAGGCGGTGTCACGGACAGTGCCTGGGTGGGTGCGCCACAGCATTGCTCGCTCTTGTAGAAAGCCTTCAGATCACCGCAGGTGGCTGCGTCTGCGCCAACCATCCCAAACGCCAAGACCACGACGATGCTGGCACCAAGCTTTGGGCGTGCCGACACCAAGGGCAGCAACAGTCCCATCCAAGCTGAGCTGCGAGATCCGGCGCCCGTCTCTTCACCCAGTGTCTCGCACAAGTCCACCTCAGCATCGTCCGGGCACTGGTCTGCCACAGCAACAGCCAAGCAAGCGCAAAATGCAAGAACGCGCAGCATGGCGGCTAATCGAACAAATCCCTTTCCAGTGAACCCTTTGCGAGGCGTCCCCTTTGATGCTGCAAATGCTTCGGACGTTCACCAAGCAGTTCTGGCAGATGCTACTCAGCTCCTCACTGCCCCAGCCTGACACTAACGCGAGCTCGCAAGTTCAGAAACTCAAAGACAT